GATGTTTGTTAGAGCCCCCAGTGGCTGCACAACACCAGCAAGGTTAAGACATGCAACAGGACTTGGCTCATCCCCACAGAGGGATAAGAACAAACAACTCAATGACATCTGGAGACAAACACTGATGACAATGAGGTCAGAGCACTGGGATCTCACATGTAAATACAGACGTTTCCTCACATACCACGGTAGCTCCTCACTACATGTATTCTGCCACATGAAGTTTGTTTCTACCACACACTAAGTTGCAGCAGAGATTCAAAAAAAGCTACTGGATACAGGCTGCGATTTGGGGGCTGGAATGAGTGATCCTTACAGTCCTCTCCAACCCAAATCGTTCTATTTGTGTTTCAAGGAGAACACTGGAGAAACAGACCCCAACCCTAACAGATTTTAGAATGCATACAGCACATTCATCCTAGAAATTATTATATTCTTGTTGTGTAAAACATTGAATCTTGAACTGATTTTCTTCTTCCTCTGTGAGTGCTGACAAATTTGCATGTGGCTGGTCACAGCTGACAGGTAACAACATTTGCATCAACAGCTAGAAACAAGCACATCACTTGAATACTCATGATGAGTGATAAGAATGAACGTTACACTACATGTTATATGGGAAACAGCACGTTTTACTGGGGGTTTTTAGCATTCTACTGCTTGCTGTGGCAATACTGTACCATATCAACTCACAAGTCTTATCATGAAGGCACCAGGTAACACCACCTCAGCTTTTGGGCTTTGAAAGAGAAGCCATGGGATACCAGAAGTTAGAGACTAGAGAGGCTACTGCAGACACTTCTGTTTCAGTGAATCTCACACCACCCCCAGTGTGTGCAGCAGAATGGAGACTGGGAGCAGCAATATCTGCTTGGCATTTGTCATGCATGGAGTGTAATTGGAAGGAAGTGACAGTACATTACCTCTGAGCCATCCTCAGGCTGCAGCAACAGGGAATAAATCACTATTGTTATCTACAGCGTTTCCATGAAATTCCTCTCCTGACACCAGTGAAGGTGTCTGACTGAAGCCTCACTGGAAGAGGGCTGTAATGGACCCCCAAAGTGAGAATTACACCTACCTTTCCTTCTTCAGCAAATCCCCTTCCATCACAGTCATGCTCAGGGGCCTCTTCCTCTCCAGGGTCCCACATTCATAGTCATTCCCAGTGTGTGACAAGTGATTGGAATTTACAGCAGGAACTGCCACAAAGGCCCCAGACACGTTGAAATCTTCATCTGAAGAGGGACAGACAGAATGCCTGCTCAGACACACACGCACATCCCAAGCATCTGACACTGCTGGGCTGTGGCAGAACTCACCTCCAGGGAAGAACCAGTCTGCATGCTGGATGATGGGCTCAATAACTGCCACCACGTGCACCGAGGTGGCTGCTGCCATCTCAGCCAGGGACCTGCAGGAGAGATGTGAACAATGCTTTATTGGGAGTTCCATCTAAGTGAGAAAATGAAAATCAACTCAGACTACCTAAAGAACAACTTAGGCTAAGCATGATGGATCAGCTCCTCAGTACCAGAGAAAGAGCAACTGTGCTGGACTCCAGAACATTCAGTAATACCCACAACCTTTAGGGGAAACACCCCTAAAACCCTCCTGCCTCAAAGGACCTCGAGGCATGGCCTGAAAGAACACTTGAAGTATTTTGCAGGTAAACAGTCTGTTGCTGTGAATTGCTGAATTCCTCGCTAAAGGATTTAAACCTATCAATTCTCCAGCTTCCCCCCATTCTGCTTTGTTGCTTTTTCAAAAGGACTCACCCTTCATTCTTTGCCCACAGCAAGTTGGGGCCCAGGACTATGGCGATGTTGCTCGGCGTCATTTTGTTAACGTCACTGTTCTGGGCAAGCTTGGCCAAAAATTTGATTAAATACCTTCAAAAAGGAAAGAAATCATTAAAGAGCAGGAACCAGGAGCGTTTCTTGTTGAAAACAAGTAAATAAAAATTGAAGAGCTTGTACAGAGAGCTCCCAACAAGACGGAAATGAGATGAGCAGCCTTCTTGCTTGGCAGCTGCCCAAAGCTTCTGCTCCTGACTCATAAAAGTTGAACTGGGTAGCAAAGAAAGCAGCTCCCATCTTAGCAAAACAGAACCACAGAAATGTTACACTTCCAGAGAAAAACCCTTCATTTCAGCTGGTTTCATGTCCTGTGGTGGAAATTCCATGCTTCTAGGAACCACCAGAGCTGGTTTTGTTCCGGTTCATTTCCAAAACACAAAACCAATAGGAAAAATGAGATGTTTAAGACAGATCCAGGTGATTTCTAAGACTGGAAACTACAGCAAAGAGCAGAGCATGAGCCATAAGCAGAAAGGCTCTGTGCATCACTATTTCCTGAAGGCCAACAAGGAATCAATCTGAGGACACCACCTCTGCATGGCCACTGCTGCATGAAACAAGAGGTATTTTATAAATCTCACTGAATTTGGCCAGAAGAGCACACCTGGATTAGAGTTTAGTTTAATTGGCTTTGGGGTGCCAAGCAGCTGAGCTAGGAGATGCTCTCACCTACCTGAAGTTAACTCGGTAATGCTCAGGTAATTTGTTACAAATCCTCCACAAGTCCTGCAGCTTCCTATCCTGGTCCTGAACACTGAAAGGACAAAAAAATGCCATGACATCTTACTTTCAGGGCAGGAATTGGTTCCTGCAGTGACAAAGAGATGATGGTATCAACTTCCATTTATGCCAAATAAATGATTTGTATTCAGTAATCTGCTTGTCAGATCCCTGAGTTATCTCTACCTGCAACAAAACTGCTTGAGCATCAATACTGTGCAGCCAGCATCCTGAAGCAGCTCCAATAGTTAAACAAAGTAGATATTTCACCACATTTTGTGCAATTTTTTTTGGTGCTATTTATTATTTAAAATAATTTGTTACACGAATACCCGTTAGTGCAATAATAAATAACTGTGTGAGCTCGGCTGTTTCTTCTGAATTCATCTGTGAAGAATCAAATTTACCAGAGATATGCAGCATGACTTCCTCCACAGCTATTTCTAGCATGCTTACTTGGCAGCTTGTGTCCACTCCTCATACAGGCTGTAGGTCATGAGAGGCTCTGGCAGCTCCCTCAGATAGGATTTCAAGGCACCTGCAAAGCAGACAGGGACAGGTTGGCTCCTCAGCCATTGCTTGCACACTTCAGAGAAAATTCTGCCCTCACTTGATGCAGTTTGATCTGTGCAGGGAATTCCAAGTACCAGGGAAAGTGGCCAGACCTGACACTGCTCAGATCTCAGCACAAAGGGTCTGTCAGGAATTGGTGCAATTTGACAGAAACATGCTGTAAAACTCTGAATCATCCCTTCAGGACAAAGGACTTCTTATAAAGATGTATTGAAGGTCTACACCCAGCTCTAACCTACCCTGACCAGGTTAACACTGTCATGGCAGCTGGGCCATTGTGATCACCTGAATTTTACACACTATAATCACAAATACAGCAGCTGTGACCAGCAGCGGCACCTACACTCATCTGTGTCAAACTGTGCAGTGAACCTTCCACTGACTGTCCCTTCTCCCAGTGTAAGTGTGGAGATACCCCCTGAGCAGCAGGAACTGTGCTGTGTAATTTACACCTGGATTGCATTCAGAACACCCCAATACCTGCCACAGCGTGGGGATCTGAGTAAAACTCATCCAGCTGGGACGTGGAACAGTCCAGGGCAGCTTTCAGCTTTTTTAACTTGGAGGCTCCAGCAGCAATTCTGAACAAGCCCTGCATCAGAGAAATAAAATGGATGGATTGGTAACCACACATTGGCACAGTTTTACAACAGAACACTCCAGCTCTGGTGCCTTCCCTGACAGCTAGGAGCCAGCTGGCCCCTCATGTGCCCTGTCACTGCCACCTGACCATGGTTCAGCTCTGTCCCACCCTTGGCCCACCCTAATCTCACTGTATGTGCACCCACTTCCAAAACACTTCACACAGTGCTGAGGTTGTCCTGTTGCAAAACATTTACCAACTACTGAATGAAGAAATTACTTAAGCAACGTATTAACAAACAGACCCCAGTTTATGAGCTTCACTGGGGCCTCCTTCCCCCATTCCTGGGCTGTGACCTGGCATCACCCAGCTCCTCTCTGATCTCTGTGATCTGGCATCACCCACCTCCTCTCTCACCCCTGTGGATCTGGCATCACCCAGCTCCTCTCTCACACCTGGATCTGGCATCACCCAGCTCCTCTCTGATCTCTGTGACCTGGCCTGGCATCACCCAGCTCCTCTCTGATCTCTGTGATCTGGCATCACCCAGCTCCTCTCTCACCCCTGGATCTCTGTGATCTGGCATCACCCAGCTCCTCTCTCACCCCTGGATCTGGCATCACCCAGCTCCTCTCTCACCCCTGTGACCTGGCCTGGCATCACCCAGCTCCTCTCTCATCCCTGTGGATCTGGCATCACCCAGCTCCTCTCTCACCCCTGTGACCTGGCCTGGCATCACCCACCTCCTCTCTCATGCCAGTCTCCAGCAGCATCATGACACAGGCTTCGATGGGCACTGCGATTTCCCGCCCGCTGCGCTTCAGGTGCTCTTCCAGGGGGGTTCCAAAGGCTGGCTTTTCAGTCCATTTGTCTAAGTTGGAGAGTATCAAAACACTGAGCAGGATATCTACCAAAGCCTTGACTCACAGCCCAGGCAAGAAGAGAGGAAAGCCTCTAGTACAGCACAGAAATGTTCAGGCTACAGCAGGAGTTTTACAGCCCTTGATTGGTAAAGTCCCTTGGATCATGAGCAAAGAGAAAATGAGCTGCTGGTGGTCAAGAAAAAAATACTTCTGCATCTTTCTGGATGGAATATCACACACAAACTCTGTGTGTAACTGGAATTATAAATAACAAACCTCAGCAAGTGCCAGCACAAGGCTGCATGTTCCAGTAACGCTGATTTGGCTCTGCAAGAATCTGTGAGGAAAATTTTGTCCAGGCTGCATGACCTGGGCTGATTTTGGTTTTAACTGTATTTAAAGTGAATAAAAACTGAGCTGTTTTATTCCTTAAATCAGCAAATTACAATGGGTGTTAACAGTCCCAGTGTACCACATCAGAACTACCAAGGTAACAGCCCAGAACCATAACATTCAAATTTTCAATTTAATTCTTCAACTCTCGTTTAACTCCAATTTGCACAAATTTCTCCAAATTGAATGTGAATTAGTTCTTTCCTGTAATTTATGTTCTGACCCATTTCTGCTACTTTAACTGAAAAAAATGCAGATGCAAAAGGTTATTGTTAGTACAGATGTGTTATTTCTTTTATGTGGAAAAGAGGCCAAGAAGGACAAAAACTTCAGAGGACTTCAAAGAGTGCTCTGAAGGCAAAGTGTTTCTGCAAAGGATTTAATTCACCCCTTTTCTTTACAAAACCACATCAATCACCTCCCTTGTCCTGTTTTACTCCCTCTCATTTGTTAACACGCCATGAGATGCACAAGGCATTTCCCAACCTCTCCAAATTACGGCAAACATTAGGAAAGGAAAGCTCAGCACTTGTTCTGAGTGCCAGCTCCATCCCTGGCAGTGCCCAGGCCAGGCTGGACAGGGCTGGGAGCACCTGGGACAGTGAAGGTGTCCCTGCCATGGCAGGGGTGGCACTGGGTGGGTTTAGGGTCCCTTGAACCCAAACCTTTATGGGATTCTAACTGACACCAGGAACACAAGGTGAGAAATTCCCTGCACTCAGCACTTGGCCACCATGGCTCCTTCTAGGGAAGCCAGATCTGAAGCCTTTGCTGCTCAGCTGCCCTGTCCCAAATTCCATGCAAAATAACAAATTTCAGTCAGCCATATCCACAAAGAACCTTCTGCACAGCCTGCTGAGCCTGCTGCTGTAGCAGTATCACCTCCTCTCCCACAGAGTGCAGGTATCCCACACCATTTCCACAATGCTCCCACTGATTTGTGTATTGAATTGGTTCATCTTTAACAACCTGCATCAGCTGGAGGCACCTGAGCCTGCCTCAGCTCAGACTGTATTTCCCTCAGACTCTGTTCACCTATTGCTCCAAAGATTCAGGGACAGCACAGCCAGTACTTTGGGGAGCAGTTTCCAAAACACACAGTGCACCTTCATCCCAAATCATCAGTGAAACACCTCTAGTCCCCTGGCAGTGGAAGCTTAGCAGCAGTCCCAGTTCTTCTTAGGGAAGAAATGAAGCTGTACAATTCCATTTTTTAACAGCTGATAATCAGCACAAGAACCCAAACTCTCAGTATCCCTGCATGCAGTGCACACTGGGAAATAGGATTGCCCAAAATGAGGTTGGGGGGAAATCCAGCTCCTTAAAATCCATGGAGTTTTCTTGTTAATCACCTGTAATCACTCAAGAACCAAATCACAGTGACACTTCCATTGGCCTGAAGAGCCAGATGTGACCAGAAAAAGGGCACAAGGAAAACAGGTAAGCAAACAGAAAAATCCTTCCTTTACCCTCCTGGGTATCAGGGAGATCCTTAATTAATATTTGATTAGTGTGTTAAACATGGCTGGAGAACTCTGGAGAACAGGAAGATGGAATTATGCTCGGGAATGTAAAATTGTTAAGCAGATCAAAATGGCCTCATTAAATCAGTGTGCATGCAAGAGAATCGAGATAGAGGAGGAGAATATTGTGCATAGGTGGCACAGGCAAGGAGAAGCATCAGCCAGAGCACAGGTTACTTTACCTTGATGGGCTTGAATTTCGGGGAGGACCTTTTCTATGACTGCTAATGCTTTTCTATGGTAATCTGCTTGTGCTTCTAATAACTGAGAACAGAAGCCACATTTTAAAAACAAAAAGAGCATTAGCTTCTGATGAGCACATAAGACAAGACTAAAGGTTCAGCACACAAATGGCACCTGTGAGAGCCCAGTGTGTGTGGCCAGCTGTGCAGGAGCAGAGCCCAGGGGCAGCACTCACCGTGACAAAGCAGCGGGCGTACTCCCCCTCCTTGGACACAAAGCTGTACATGTCTGCAGCCAGCTGGTCCTGGGGAAACATGGGCAGCAGGACAGCCCATTTACTCATCTCAAATCTGACACACTCACTCATTGTGTTTGTTTTGCCTGCAGGAAGTTTGAACTGAGGAGCTGTAATGCACCTGCTCTGATCCAAGTGCTCTTCAAGCTCCAGTCATTTCTTCAAATTGATTTCAGAATCTTAACTCTGGTTTATGCAGCAAAGCAGACTTTGCCTCCTTCAGTCAAGGACATATTGCCATTCAGTCCAGTTATTTATAGCACTCAAAGACAAGTACTAATAAAAATGGTTTCAGTTCTCAGTACTCAATGGAGCATTTGCTGCTGAGAAGTGAAAATGAATGTGAGCTGCTCAGGGGTGTCACAGGTCCTGGGGTGGCCCAGCTTCAGTTTCCTCCAGGTGCCTCCTACTGGAGCACCCAGGCACCCTGAGCATCCATTCATGGCCAGCACACAGCTGGCTCAGACTGAAACTGAAAATAATGTCCAACACCCAACTTACACATACCCTGGATGGAGTTCCTCATTGAACTACAGCAATCCAGAGATCAGCTGGCATGAAAATGTCCAACACCCAACTTAGAAACAGCCTGGATGGAGTTCCTCATTGAACTGCAGCAATCCAGAGATCAGCTGGCATGAAAATGTCCAACACCCAACTTAGAAACAGCCTGGCTGGAGTTCCTCATTGAACTGCAGCAATCCAGAGATCAGCTGGCATGAAATGCCCCCAGGACAGGCACTGCCACAGCCACATGATTTGCAGCTGCACAAGTGGGCAATTCCATAGCAGCTGGGGAAGAGACACTCATGCTGTCCTTACCTTGCATTGCTCTACTTTATTCCCAGCTTCATCCATCTCTTCCTTAAGAGATTCTATTTTTGAGGGATGCACTTGGAAATTTGTTCCTGAAGTCTTGTGGGCTTGGTTGTATCTGGGGAAGCAAAGTTTCATTCTGTGAGCATCAATACCCAACACAAATCTGCATTTATGGCTCCCTTGGAACTGGTTTCTCTCTACAGGAACAACCCCCACAGTTCCAGAGGTTTTCCAACAGACCCAAAAGGTTCCAAACACAGCATTCATGACATGCTGACACAATCCAGCAGCAGCTATAAAAATCACCAGAATCCTGTGTATGCCCCATAAGGTGGGTGTGGAACATGCTGGAAATGGCTGCCCCAGCTCTCAGGGCAGGGAAAAACCATCCAGAGGCACTCATGGAAAACCCAGGAGCCTCCCAAGGAGATGGCTCCACACAGCTCCTGCTCCCTCTTCAAGCTGAGAACTTCAGTGATTCCTTATTTAAGTTAAACACTTGTATGAACTGGAAACTGGATGAGTTCCCAACATTTTTCCAATTGTATCCAGGCATGTAAGAACTCTGAAATCCTGATTCTGTTTAGATCTAGCAGTCATGGATCCTCTCCTGGTGTAACTGAAATGAAAGTTTGACTTTTTTCACCCATTGCCTGCTCACAGCAGCATTTCAGGAGCAAGCACCAGAGCAGAGCAGGAGCCATCAGATGCCAACAAGGAGCTCACACGCACAGAAAAGCAGCCAGGAACTAAAATGCTCTCCTACCTTCCCCTTGCAGAATCCCAGTCCAGCACCAGCTTTGCAAGCTGCTTCCTCTGCTTCTGAATGTTTGGGATCTCTGTCTGAAATGAGAATTGGGGGCTTACATTCCATTTTAAATTGTGCACTGTAACAAATTACATATTGTATGTTTCATTCCCACTTCCCACCACTAACACAGGGCTCCTTAAAGCAGGTTTTTACTAGCAGCACTGAGATAAACCACTTCTGCTCAGTTTGTGCATCAGTCCAGGTGTGCTCTCCTCTCAGGCTGGGCTGTCTCACCTCTGTCAGCAGGCACAGTGGGTCTATGACTTCTCTCTCAATCTGTACTTCATGCTGGGAGAGCTCCATTGCCAGTTTATTCTCTGCATCCCCACAGGTATCCAGCATTTTCCTGTAAGAATCACAGAAATTCGTCAAGGCAGTTACTGACTGAAGGAGGATTGAAGGCAAAGCAGAGCTGTGCAGAGCTTTGTGCTGCAGAAAGCAAAGCAACCCTGCAATTGCTCTGTGCTCTCTTGGAGCCATCTGGGACAGGCAAGTGCTGTTATTAAACCTTTTTCTCCTAAATTCCTGAGCCATGACAACGCTTTGGAGGCTTTCAGACATCCAGGTGATTACAGCAGCCCTGAGGGCACAAAGTCAGTCTTTATTTCCAAGCCCATCCTTCCATCTCACAGAGAAACTGCTCAGTGCAGTTTTTCACCTGCTCCTAAGCCCCTTTAATGTGAAGGTCTTAACACCCTAATTCCCAGCAATCCCATCCCCAGCACCTCAGGCTCCAAACCCATGACCTGACCTTCATTTTATGCTTGTTATAAGGAAAACCCCTACTCTGTGAGATTTTTATCCAGGTTTGAATCTCCTGCAGTGGCTCAGAAATACGTTCCCAGAGGTTTCTGAGGTCATTCTACACGGTCTCCATGAGAATTCCCACCAGCAATGAGAAAACCCACTTGGCTCCAGGAATTCAGCACAGGGAGGTTCATTTGTTTTAGCCACTTTCCTGTTAATTGCAAATAACCCAGGACAGATAAATCTGGGCTACTTTAAAGTAGGAGCCATTAATGAAAATTGACATTATTTTAAGTCATCAAATCAAACCTGCAGAATGCAGTTTAAAATAAAAATGCAGTTTAATTGTAGAATACACAACATTTTAAACTTCAAATGGAGATGATAATTCTACCAACCCACAAAGAAAAAAGCCATTTTAAAAGCTTTTATGATAGCAGAGAATCAGAATCCTCCGTAATGCAATTCAGCCTAAAGCTTGTCCCCAGACCATTCCAGAAAAACTGCTTGCTCACAGTTCCTCCCTTTGGATTAGAGAAACTAGAAATATTAAGTTTTATTAGACTGAAACCAGCCTTTGTGCACGCAGAGGTTCTAATTGGAGCCCTGCAGCAATGAGATGTCAGACAGCAATCAGGGAAAAGGCAAACACTTACCCCAGCAGAGTTTCATCACTCAGCTGGATGGAGCCCTCCTGCATGTTCTGAGCCAGGGCTGTGAGAGGAAGCTTCTTCTGTGGAACACAAGGAACAGTGCTTAGCTTGGTGCTGCTCACTCTTGCCAGCACATCCCCTCTCAGGTTCTGCTCCCCTTCCATATGGTTTCTATTACACAAACACAGCTCATTCTTGGACTCCAGGAAAATGCCAAGTCACAAAAAGCTTCAAGCCCCAAGACTCCTGTTCTCAGACACTCTGAAAAGCACTTTCCTCTCAGTTTTAGTTGGAATCACTGGCCCAAAGCATATCTCAGCCACTGCCAAGGAGAGATAAACAGCTTAGAGCTGAGATTTGAGCATCCAGCTTGTCACCTCTCTCTGCTGTGTGCCCCTGCTCCAGGTCTGTGCTACTCAATAAAAGGAAAGTGGGAATGTGAATTCTTTCTGGCTCTGATGCTCTAAGAAAACCCAACTACAGCTTTGCTAAGGAGGGCAGAACCAAATGTGTACAGAACAGCATTTCCAGCCAGCTCAGCTGCCAGGGCAGCTCCAGACCTGAGGAGCTGGGGCACAGCTGCAGAGCTGCAATTGTCTCTCCTGGCTGGGGCAGAGCTGCAATTGTCTCTCCTGGCTGGGGCAGAGCTGCAGGGCTGCAAATGATCTCATCTGCCCTGGCTGGGTCAGGAGAGCCCCCAGCACCCAGCAGGGACATGAGGTGTCCTGGCACTGCTCCAGGCTGTGCTGGGGTGGGCTGGCACTGGGCTGGCACTGGGATGTCACTGGGGGGGTGGCATTGGGGTTTAACTGGACTGTCACTGGGATTTCACTAGGATGTCACTGGAGTTTCACTGGGTGTCACTGGAGTTTCAATGGGGTTTCATTGGGGTTTCACTGAAGTTTCACTGAAGTTTCATTGAAGTTTCACTGGTGTTTCCCTGCAGTGCCACCAGTGCCAGCAGCAAGCTGCCCTGGCAGAGCTGTGGTGCCCTGGTGGCACTCTGGCAGAGCCGTGCTGCCCTGTTGGCACCCTGGCACAGCCGCGCTGCCCTGGTGGCACCCTGGCACAGCCGTGCTGCTCTGGTGGCACCCTGGCACAGCCACGCTGCCCTGGCAGAGCTGTGGTGCCCTGGTGGCACCCTGGCACAGCCACGCTGCCCTGGCACAGCCGTGCTGCCCTGGTGGCACCCTGGCACAGCCGTGCTGCCCTGTTGGCACCCTGGCACAGCCACGCAGCCCTGGTGGCACCCTGGCACAGCCGCGCTGCCCTGGTGACACCCCCAGCTGTACTCACGTGTCTCTTGTCGGGGTCAGTGCCATGCTGGCCCTGCAGACAGGCAATCAGCCTCTTCTGGGCCAGGTGGCACACGGACCTCACGGCGTCCAGCCGCCTCTCGATCTGCCCGGCACGGACACAGGGGAGGAAGGGAAAACAACACAAAAACCAGAAGTTATTTCCCTGGCCTCAGCAGAAAACCTTCCCCCCGTACCACACGCAGCTCTGGGCTGCAGATTTCTCAAATTCTCCAGCTTACAAGAAGTGCAGCTGCTTAGGAGAACTGCCTGACAGCAAAAATGCTTGGGGGGAAACTGAAATTGGTTTTTCTCTTCAGTGGCACGAGACTCAGTCAGAGCTCACGACACTGGAAAGTGGGAAAGGGAAAAAGCATTGTCCTGCTTGGCACAAGGGAATCAGGGTGGCATTGGCATCTGAGATGAATGGCACATGCAGGTACCTAAGACACTAATTTAGAGAGAAAACTGTGGGAAAACTCATCATTTTCACTGTGACCTTGTGAAGCAGGTGCTGGAGACAAACCTGGACTCCAAGCTCCTCCTGCACGTCCTTCCCTGGCTCTTAAAACAAGGACACAATTCCCACATGCTGAGAAAAACAGAATTTCCAGGGAGAGACTACTGAGGTTCAAATGGGATAGGGAATTAAAAAACAGGAGTCAAAGCCCAAATAAGAGTTCTGTTTATCAGCATCTAATTCAAACATGGCTTAATACACAGCCTGAGAATAGGACAAATATATACATGATAAACTGTTCTTTTAAGGGATTTTAAGCAAGGAATTTGGACTATTTTATTTCAAAGAACACCAAAAACAAACACAGAGATGAGCAGTGGGACAGAACTGCTCGTGGCACTGAGCTCTCTGTGCACAGCACCCAAAGAATGCTGTTTATCTGCATTTTGATGACTCACCAAGAATAACAGGAGGCCCTTTGGAATGGGTTCTATTTAAAAAGCAAGGGGAAAAAAAAAGTAGATTTCATCTGTAGAAATAATCTGAACAGATTCCAGTTTTTGACACAGCTCTAAAATCACTTTTATTATATTTTCAGGAGGGCAAAATGAACCCAAGTTGAAGTGCTCAAAATGATCAGTAAAAATCCATTAGGGTAGAAAAAGCTGCAGAGAAACTGCCCAGACATTCCTCTGAGAGCACAAGGCTCTGCCTTTTATCTACAGAGTGTGCAGCAACAAATTCAAAATTAAATCCAGGTGGGAAAAGCCCATAAGGAGATCAATGAACAAGCAGGTATTGTTTGTGCTCTATTGTTGCAGCTGAGATTATCCACTTCTCTTGTGTTATCTTCAAAATGAAATCCTGGAATGGTTTGGGGTGGAAGGGACCTTAAATCCCATCCAGGGCCAGGGACACTTCCACTGTCCCAGGTGCCCCAAGCCCTGTCCAGCCTGGCCTGGGCACTGCCAGGGATCCAGGGGCAGCCACAGCTGCTCTGGGCACCTGTGCCAGCCCTGCCCACCCTCACAGGAGCAAACACCACCACCACACTCCAAACCATCCTTTTGCTACAGAATAATTCACTTTGCAAGGCCAGGCAGTTAGAAGCTCTAACACTGAGCACAGGGTGTCCCACACTGGAGCAGGTGCCACCCTGGGGCTGGGGCACCTCTGAGCCTGGCACAGCTGGGCAGCCCTGCCTGGGGCTCCTTGGAAAGCTCTGCAGCTGCCAAGGCTCTTGCAGGCACCCCGAGCTGCAGGGAGGGCACACGACTGACAGCAGGAACGTGACCCCACAATTTCAGCCCTGCCCTCTCCTCTCTGATCTGCTCTCTAGGGCAGAGACGGCAAGAACACCACAAAGGGCATTAATCTCCTCCAAGCCACCTCTGAAGTGACAGTGTGACCCAGGGGCCACGCTGTCTGTCCCCTCGGGCCATCCCCTGAGTACAGAACATCACACAATTGCTTTATTATCTGCCACGGGGCCGTGCCAGAAAGCAGGGCTATTGTACAGGCCTGTGGAGCACTGAATTATAGCCCTTGTCTTCAGATGAAACACACTGAACAGACACTTGAAATGGAGCACAGCCCTTCAGAAAACAGAACAAAAAAAGCTGTAACAATCCTGTGGCAAAGCTTGGGCTAAATATAAAAAAGCCCAAGTGTGAGCCGTGTTTGTGAAGTGAGCAGCACCATGTTTCCAAACCCGTGGGTTAGATAAGAGCCTCCTGCCCCTGCTCAAGCCCCCAAGAGCAAACAAACAAGTGAGTAAATTCTTCCACTTGGGTGTAGCCAGGCTGCTCGGGGCCTGGGAAAGCCTTGCTTGCAAAATTTTTTTGGCAACGAGCAGCAGAGCTTTTGGCTTTCACTTCTTGTTACTATTCTGCAGCTAAGCAAGAAAGCAGCTGGGCTCTCACAGGCTACCAAGGTGTTTAACATCTTTGTGCCTCTGAGCCGCACACCTCCTCAGAAATGAACAACACAACCGTCAGACTGGCAAGGTATTTTTAGTTTAAATAAAGCAACCTCCTGAAAAGGAGGTGAAATGTTTTGGATCCCCATTGCACTGGCACAGGGTGCCCAGAGCAGCTGTGGCTGTCCCTGGACCCCTGGCAGTGCCCAGGCCAGGCTGGGCAGGGCTTGGAGCACCTGGGACAGTGGGAGGTGTCCCTGCCATGGCAGGGGTGGCACTGGGTGGGCTTTAAGATGCCTCCAACCCAAATCAGTCTGGGACTCTGTAATTCTGGGTATTTGTGCTGAATTCATGTCTGAAGGCTGGCACACCCCTCAGGTGCCTCCTGAACCAGAGCCAACCACATCACCTGCCTGACCTCCCTGCTCCACCTGCTCTGAACCAGGGGCACCTCCATCACCTGCCTGACCTCCCTGCTCCACCTGCACCTCCCTGAGGTGCTTTGTGATGAACCAGAAATGAGCACCACGCTGAGCCCAGGAGCAGCCAGCCTGACTTCCCTCCCTGATTCGTGTTCCTTTCACAAAGCCTCCACTGAGAAATAGGGAAGACAGCTATGTGGGACAAGTCTGCAGGCAAGTCTGCTCCACGGAATCAGTCACCCCTGCTAATGTGACAGTTGCAGCTTCAATTCCACCATGAGAGTCGTGTTTGATGAGATGATAAATCTGCACAGAGATGACAAGTCTGCAAACAAATCCATGTCAGCATGACAAATCTGAGAACAAGTATCACAGCTAAACAAGAAGCATTTGTACACTCAGAGCAGTAACAGACTCTATCAGTGAGCAGTTGGGATGATTTTTGTGCCCCTTCTCTTAAGGCCCAGTTGATGTGTCCAGGTGAAAGCAGTGAGGACAGAAACCAGCTGTGCCCAGCAGGGTTTCCTCATCCTCCCCAGCCAGACTGGTACATCACCAGCACCAATGGCTCCTGGGCTCAGCAGGCTTGTTCATCTCATTAAAAGCAGGAATGGTTCCTCCTCCACTCTACCAAGTCATGTAATGCACTCAGAAACAGAAATAACTGAGTTTTTCTACTCAAAATGTACCTGTTATTTCAGGTGCTGTAAAGTCAAGGATGTCCAGGGTTCCATCCCTGACATGTGCAGTATTCCTGCCCACATCAGGTTCTCCACAAACCTCAGAAAGCTCACACATTACAGCATTAAAAAAATACACATGAAGCATGTTACAATACCTGCAACAGGTCTTCACTGAGCACCTCTGTTCTCTCAGCCCTAAGGGAGGAAAAAAGACAATTGTCAGACAACTGGCATGTTCAGGGTCAAAGATTGCCTCAACAATTCCAACAAAACCTGCTCAGTTCCAAGTTATGGTGCCATGACTGCAAACAGCACCATGTTCACCTGTCCCAAGGGGTTTGGAAAACCCTGACACCCTTAGAGTGCCCAGCCTGCAGCACAAATCCACTGCACAAGCCCCAAATGGTGATTCCAACTGCACCTGGAATAACCCAATGCAAACTGAACCATTGCACCGAGCCTGAAATGGTGATTGCAGGTGCACATGGAATAACCCAAAGCAAACTGAACCATTGCACCAAGCCCCAAATGGTGATTGCAGCTGCACATGGAATAACCCAATGCAAACTGACCCACTGCACCCAGCCCCAAATGGTGACTCCAACTGCACACAGAATAACCCAATGCAAACTGAACCATTGCACCAAGCCTGAAATGATGATTGCAGCTGCACATGGAATACTCAGAGCAAACTGAACCATTACACCTGAACCACTGCACCAAGCCCCAAATGGTGACTCCAACTGCACACAGAATAACCCAAAGCAAACTGAACCAATGCACCTGAACCACTGCACCAAGCCCCAAATGGTGATTGCAGCTGCACATGGAATAACCCAAAGCAAACTGAGCCAGCGCACCTGACTGTACAGGAATATAAACCTCACACCCCGCCAGCCCAGCTCACACAAACTGAAATTGTTCAATGTTCACACAGGTTTATTTGTTGCTGGCTCTGTGGCTCGAGCAGTGATTGAGTCTCCCTTTGCCAGGCCTATAAAATAAAGATAAATTCAGTTTCCCCAATCTCTCCTCCCTGTGCTCACCGTTACTACACATGTACACCAGGGAGCACTTGGAGGGACTCCAGCACACTCTCTTCCTGTTCTGAGAGTTTCCCCTGCTGCTGCCAGAGTCCCTCAGCTACTCCAGCCTTTATCAGCTCCTGCAATCTGTCAAATAACCCACTGCGAACCCGGCACGCACAGCAAGCTCGAGTTCCTGATCAGCCCTCAGCAGCTGAGCGTGCCAAAAGCCTCCAAGGACAGGATTCCTCCAGGTTTGGGTTGGTGCTTTTAAAGCATTTATTTGAATTCAATTTTACAGCACATTATCTGCTTCAACTAGTCGTGAACCATAAGGTGTTTAATAATTAAATGCCAGAATAAAGCAAAAGCTCAGAGCCTCAGCCAGACTCAGACAAAAGCAGCTGAAATACCCTGACAGCACTGCAATATTTATTTGTTGAGGAAAACACAGACAAGATTGATAAACTTTTCTCCCACCCAAACAGAAACATTTCGTCGGACGGAAATGACATCCTGTTAGAGAGCAATTATTTATACTTATTATTTATATATTTATATTGTATCGCTGCATATCCCACTCTGCTGCAACCACAACTTTAATTCAAACCCCCTCAAACATTAGGATAGAGCTTCCATACAACTTTAGGGTCATACAAATTTTGATCTCTCCTTTCCTTCCTCTTCCCTAGGATATTCTATCCACTGGGGTAAATGGTGGCTCAGTACTGGGCCAACAGAAGTTTGCTCCCAGTTTAAATGTGCTTACCCACATACTGTGGATCATTTGTGAAGTGCAAAATAATTGTATTTATTTTGCTGAATTGTATTTTATTTCTCAAATAATTGTATTTATTTTTGTATTTATTTTTCTCAAACTGATGTGGTTTCTGCAGGCCCAGAGCCCCCGTGGGACAGTGCAGGTGTCCTCCCTGGGGATGCTGGCCCAGCCCTGGTGGCAGCAGGAGCAGGGCCAGGCCAGGCAGGGCAGAACAGCCCCTGCTGCTGATGTCAGGCTGGGAAATGCAGCCAGGGAAAACCTCACCCTTCCTGCAGGCCCACATTCCACCTTTAATAAGGAAGCCAAGAAAGAGCCACTAAATAATGTTGTTTTTCAGTGATCACAACCATGAAAGAGAAAACAGCTCTGTGATAGCAGCACAGCCCATCTCCTCTCTGCACAGGGGAAAGCAGCAAACCATCAAAGGGACCTGGCTCCCTTGGCAGTAACCTCTGTCTCCCTGGAATTAACCTCTGTCTCCCTGGAATTAACCTCTGTCTCCCTGGAATTACAGGTATGACCAGTTTGAAGTTTCCATCCAACTGCAACTTCGAGGGATGCTAATTCCTTCTACTAAGGAGAATTCCTTCCCTCAGCTAACCAGGGAAGCAGCGAACTCCTAAAAAAGAACAGACTTTCTTTTTCACTGCTAAACTTCTGTCCTCAGCCCCTGTTAGGGTTTATTTGCACGCTATCTAATTGAAGCAGTGAAGAAATCCCTGGGAGTGTTGGTTTGGGCACACAGGGCTGGCACCCCACCTGCAGCACAGCACAGGCTTCAGGTGCTAAATCCCAAATATCTGCTGTGCTCCCCTGGAGCAGAATGGAGCTGCTCCCCTGGGAATGGAGCTGCTCTGCTGCACCACAGAACCCTGACATGAACCAGCTGGCACTGAGCTCTCAGGGCAGCAGTGCCTTTAACAGACTGATTGTAAAAAACACAAGGGAACAATCGTTTGTTATGGCTGCAATAATCCTCTTAATGACAAAGGGGATAAAAGTACTGAACTCTGTGAAAGCAGCACTTCGGGCTGGCAGCAGGGCAGGCTCTGAGCATGGCACAGCTGCCAGGCTCAGCCAAAGCCCTGGGCACAGCCAGCATGCCCCCATGGTGCCAGGGCACTGAGAAACTCATTTCTAACAAAACTATTGGTTCTTCAGGCAAATTTTCTTTTCAAGACAGTAAATACAGTACTTAGCATGAAACAGGATATGGGACAGAAATGCTGGTGCCATTTCCTACCTGTGGGTGGCACGGCCTTAACTCACTCCAAGCAAAAACCCAATTGGTTTTACAGGGAAAGACTACACCTTTTTATTCTAGACATGTTAATCACAATGCTTTGGCTGGCTGTGACATTGTAAAAATGCATTCCATGTGCCCCCAATTGACCTCCTGTCAGAGTGCTTTATGGTATAATTCCCTTTAATTCCCTTTACTTTTTCCCTTCTTTCTGACCCAGCCTGAAGCCCAGCCCAGCCACAGGGCTCTGCTGCAGCCCAAAGCCTGGCTCTGCCCAGGCAGGGTGGGCAGGACAGCCCCCAGCCACCAGCTTAAAACCTCACTCATTTGTCCCCAAAACGACTTGGCCATTTTGCAGCTCCTTCACACTTCCAGGCCAGAAGTGTTCTCTGCACATCTGGAAACAGCAGACGGGAATTCCTGAGAAACAAGTGTTTATCTTCCACCGGGAAAGAATTTACATTTCCATGTATAATGCTTCATGTAAGGAGTCTCTGAGAGCCCCCTGGTCCTGCCCATCACTGGGGGGGCATCAGCACTGAAGCAGGGCTGATCTCCAAGGCAGGTGAAAGCCACAGAACCACTGCAAGTGACATTTTACAGGGGCTGGGGGAATCCCTCTGTCAGAGGGCAGGGATAGACGGGACACAGGAGGGAATTCCTCCCTGGCAGGGTGGGCAGGCCCTGGCACAGGTGCCCAGAGCAGCTGTGGCTGCCATGGATCCCTGGCAGTGCCCCATGCCAGGTTGGACGGGGCTGGGAGCAGCCTGGCACAGTGAAGGTGTCCCTGCCATGGCAGGGGTGGCACTGGGTGGGCTTTGAGGTCCCTTCCACCCCAAAGCGTGCAGGACTCTGTGAAATGCACACCTCTGAAAGGCTGAGCAGGGAGGAAGCAGAGCTAACCTGCCACATGAGCCACGAAGCCCTGGCCAGTGACAGCAGCAGTGACTCAGTTGCAATGTCACCCTGGAGACCAAGCCTGAGTCACCCACAGCTGGGCAGGGCGGGCGCCTGGCAGAGGTGATGCCAGGGCAGGGCAGGGCCAGCTCTCAGCCCTGGAAAGGTTTCAGTGGCAGCAAGGAGACATCCACCCAAGCTGGAGCCAGAGCCACAGCCAGCCTGCCCTGCTGGGTGGTTTCTCCTCAAACAAAGCTGTGTTTGTTACCAGGAGGAGCCAGCCCGGCCTCTGGTGAGGTAACACCGAGCACCTTGGCGGGCTGGCAGCACATCCTGCCTGCTCTCCACATACAATAGGCAGCACTTGCTGCCAGGAAAAATGAAACGATCAGCAGCTCTGCTCCAAAACAAGGAATCCAGAATTAGATGATAATTTCCCTTCAAAGAGGTTTGCTTTGCTAACACTCACCAAGACAAACTCCACAGAAAATACAACTCCAAGGTGTTTCAGGACCAAGTCACTCACTAATTATTGAATGGAAACCAGCATGACCCAAGGTAAACATCAACATTCTGAAGTGGGTTTCAAACGTTCAAAAATAACTCAGAGAATGCTGTCAGGTGTTAGTCACCACTCACTTTCAGTATTAGTATTTAGGGAACACCACAACCAGCCATTAGCACGATTTTAGTTTGCCTCCTATTCTCATTTTTCGCCACAATTAAAAATGGAAGCTTCTGTGCATGTATTAAAATGGATTTAATTGTAAATGTGGTGACCATGGATGTTTCAGTGATGCATAAATCCCACCAAGGCTGTTCTGGAGCTCTCCCACCAGCTGCAGCTCCTATGCTTCCAGTCCTTTAAAAATGGCGCATCACCTCCAAACCATTTCAGTGATGCACACACCTCAGAGCTGCACAACTACAGCTCAGGGAGTGGGTAAAGGAAGATTTCTGCTACCTTGCCTTCCTTCTTTATGCTCTGTAGTGAGCTCCCCATCAGCCTGTGCCCGGTCACTCCCCAGGCTCACCAGGCCTGAGAGGAGCTGGTGCTCTGCTGAGAGGCAGGGCAGGCTGCAGGGAGCAGATAATCATCTTGGCAGGAGAGCAGAGACTCCTGAGCAGGGCAGGGAAGCCCAGGACAGGCTCTGCACAGGAGGGGACTGGAATTCCTGCCTGGTGAAATGGATCCAAGGCTGTGCTCTGGAGCCAGGCAGTAAATTGAGCCCTGGAGAACAAGCACAGC